TTTTGACTTGTAAAGTAGTACAAAGAGATGAACAAAGATGTCATAAGTAACAATGAAAGTATTCTCATGTCTATTTTCCTTAATTGTCTAATTATGAAAAGAATCTTCTATTATAGAAGTACAGGTTTATATGACAACCAGTTGAAAGACGACGAACAAGTTGAATTAATAATTATCAATTTTAAAATTCTTTTTTGATTCCGTTTAAATTTTGAAAAACTTAAACTGAACTCATTTCTGTTGTGACTGTAACGAATATAATTGTTGATTCAAATGAAGATTTACTTCCATAACAATGATTAATTAAATGTATTCTGTATTGTAATTAAACAAGAAATAATTCTTTATTCATATACATACATATCATTAAAGTTGATATTGAATTTGAAAATAGATATAGGATTTTTTTCACGATTCACTCATTGAGTTTGACCTATAAGTTCGATAACTTCGGAATGTATCCATTTTGCTTTGATTCTTTTTTTCATAATGATGATACTATTACTTTCATAAGGTTATATATCATTTTCATGAATCGATCACTTATTTAGAACAAAAATGATAAAGGTCATAAGATCATATAAATAGAAATAGTCGAATAATTTTATTGATCACAATATCTTTTTTTTTTGTTACCAAATAGATAAATTCTTTTCGATGCTTAAAAATAAATTTCCTAACTGTCTAAATCATTCATTATTTGAATGGATAAATTTAATATCAAATGTTTTTATTCCACTGATTATTGGTATATTAACAATTGTTCTTCCAGTACAACAAGAAAATTTAAATGAACATCAACATGAAAATTCAAAAACAATTGTATTCAATAATCGTTTAAGCTATATTCAATCATTACATGATGAACAATATCAAAATATATTAAATATTTATCAACAAGATTTAATGAATCTTATTCTTAAATATGATTTTTCAAATAATTCTATTGAGAATGAACGTATTTTATTAATTATTCGAACAAAAACTTTACATGTACTAAGACAACTTGATCCAGTAAGAAAACTTTCTCTTATACAATTATTAATTGATAGTGGTATTCAATATCGAATTAATATATCTCATGTAGATTTATCATCATTAATTTTTCCTCCAGGATCTTTTTATAATCATTTACAATTTATTAATATTCTAGCAAGAAATATATCATTAAAAAATATTTATTTATTTCAAAGTAATTTTTCATATTCAATTTTAGACGATTCATTATTTCTTAATTCAAATTGTTCATATGCAGATTTTCGTTATGCATCATTACAAAGAACAGATTGGACGAATACAGATGTTACACAAGCAATATTTAATTATACAAATTTATATCAAGCAAAACTAACAAAAGAACAATTAGCTAAAGTACAAAGTTTACAAGGTGCTATACTTCCGAATGGTTCAACTGTAGTTGCTTAAAATTAATAAAGATTCAAAAGCACTAAAAAAAAATCTTGTAATTTAAAAGAGAAATAAAAAAAAATTATTTTTCAGTGAACAAAAATTAAACTGTGTTAGATAGCAATCGTGAAAAGTTGATATTCAATAACACCTTCTGGATCTTGAAATAAAAAGAATTAATGCAATAATTAAAGAACAAGTGATCAGTGTAAAATCTATGAAAACAAAAGAATAAGCTTTTTTGAGAAAAGATTGATTTTGTTACAAGTAAAGAAGAACTGTACGAAAAAGCTAAGCCATATTAACTAGAATCTACCATTTCTTGACATTCTATAACTAAGATTACATGCCCATAAAGCATTTCCAATACGGAAGAAGCTTACAAAGCAACATCTTTTTTTCTGAAACATTTCTGCTTCGTAATTAAAGCCTTTCCGGTAAGCGGCGTTCGCTTATCTCTTCCAATGTGCGTTTTTCTAACGCAAGCTGTGAATCTTTCTCTGATACGCACCATTGTTACACATAGCAAAATTTGAGTTCGATAAAAGAGTTACTAACGGTACTTCATTTAGGTGATATTCAAGGATTTGTTTGCTCTTATTTAAACTTTCAGATGACAATCTCATTAAAAAAAAATCTTAAGCCTGCTCTAGAATCAAAACGTTCCGTCTGTCATCTATGTTCAGCATCATAAAATCTTCTCATTCTCTATAAATACCTTGAAAAAAAAAGATAAATCATTATTGTGTAACAGCGACCTCTTTGGAAAAATAATCTGCTTTGCTCTACTCTTAAGACCTATACATTTGTTTCCAATGATTTCCTCATTCAATTTCTCATTTGTGGAATAATTCACATAAAAAAAAATCCAAACCTATCTATATTATATTATTCATTTCAGATGACTTCTAGATATTTCTTTCGTACTTTTCGTCGTTTACTTTTATTTTCATCTTCTCATATTCCCTTATCATTTCGAAATAATCGTCTTCTTTGGACTTCATTGGGTACTGCTGCCATATTCAGTACAACTGTTTATAAAATATCACCATTTGAAAAATTCTCTCGTTCATTTATTGTTCATGCCAAAGCACCTGAAAAAGATTTATCTCATATTGGTATGAAATCATGTTATTTCTTTGATAAAAATCTTTTCTAATTAGTTACTCATTCGTAGAAAAACAATTCTTTCAAGCTGCTCATGATGGTCGATTAGAAACTCTTCAACAGTAAATAAATAAGTTTCTTTTTTTTTGTATTTCATAATCATAAACTAATGTGCTTTTTCTCATAGATTAATTGAACAAGAAAAACTTGATGTTAATCTTCGACATCCACTTGGTTGGACACCTCTTCTTGTTGCTGTTATAAATAATAGAAATGATTGTGTAAAATATTTACTTTCAAAAGGTGCTGATCCAAATCAATCTGATGAATATACTAATGTACAATTAATGGCAAAAAAACTTCACTGGAATCCGACACACGGTATATTAAAAAAGAAAAGAAAATCTTTTTAGATAATCTTTTTTTTTTTAAATTTAGTTCATTCAAAACGTGAAGAAGAATTTTCTGATCGTCTTTCATCTCGAGCAACATTTAATGGTTTTACAGCACTTCATTATGCTGTATTAAATGATAATTTAAGTATAATAAATATATTAATTGAATATGGTGCTGATCCTTTAATTGAAAATGAACAAGGACATATACCATCTGCATATGCATTACCACAACGTAAAGAATTATTAAGTCAATTTGAAAAAAATGTTTGTTTTTATTTTTGTTAAAATCTAAAACAAAATAAAACATGTTCTTTTTTCTAGGCAAAAAAATTACATGAAGATAGAATGAAAATTGAAAGACGACGAAGACCACTTGAAATTCGAATAAAAGAACATATTGTTGGACAAAATTATGCTATATCAATAGTTTGTGCTGGTTAGTTAATTTAGAAATAAATAATTATATTCAAAAACCAAAATATATCGTTCTTTTTTTGTGTAGCTATACGACGAAAAGAATCTGGTTGGACAAGTGATGAATCACCATTAGTATTTCTTTTTCTTGGTTCATCTGGTGTTGGTAAAACTGAATTAGCTAAACAAATAGCAAAATATTTAAATGGTGAAAAAAATCAAAATCGTTGTTTTATACGTATTGATATGAGTGAATATCAAGAAAAACATGAAGTATCGAAATTAATTGGTGCACCACCTGGATATGAAAGTTTGATTAAAAGAAAAATAAGATTTAAAATTATCGTTTTGTTTTTTATTTTTTTTGTTTACAGATCGGATATCAAGAAGGTGGACAATTAACTGATGCATTAAAAAAATGTCCAACAGCCGTTGTACTTTTTGATGAAGTTGATAAAGCACATCCGGATGTGTTAACAGTTATGTTACAATTATTTGATGAAGTAAAATAAGAATTAAAAAAAGATAAAATTGAAAAATATAAATTTAATTTAGGGACGTTTAACTGATGGAAAAGGAAAAACAATTGATGGTAAACAAGCTATTTATGTAATGACATCGAATTTAGCTAGTGAAGAAATTGCTAATTATGCACAAGATTTAAGACGGGAAGAAGAAAAAAAACCACCATTAGTTAATGGAACAGTACCATCAGGTAAACTTATTTATTATTTGTAAATATAAGTTTTATGAATATATACCTTTTAAGTCGACTTGATAGATTTTTGAATTGATCATTAATCATATAATCATTATCATGATATTATTCATAGAAATTAAAGAAGAATTAGATCACTAATTTTTAAATAACAGGAACCGTTGAAGATTCTCATCAAAATTTTATTCGAATGAGAAAAGAAATCATAATAAAGTTTTTTTTTTAAGAATGCTTTTTTTATTCAGGCATGCATAGAATCCGAGCTCTGGCTTAGATTCCGAAACTATTGAGTATTTCGGTGATTGCTCAAGCATTTTTTTGAGATTTATGTATAATAATGAAGGTACTCTAAGAATTGGTGAAGTTCGAGCTTGAGTATTTCTGACTATTGTTGGCTTTTTTAAAGGATGTTTAAAGACCTCTGCATTTGGATTATTTATTCCACTCTATGCAGGTCTGCTAGTTGAAATAACGATAGATAGACAGGAAAATATCTTAAAGTAAATAAATAGCTTGCGAAGTAAGACTTATGTCATCAGGTAGATCAGACAAAGCCTAAAATAGTCTGTTATTTTAATCCCATCTTTCTCGAGTCCTGCAAGCCATTCAGAATTACGCTGAAAATGTTTGGTACATGACAAACAGAATTCAGGACTCGAAGAAGATCTATCTCTTCCTAATTTATGATAACTTTATTGAGTTTTTGATATACATTTGGGACTATCATGAAGAGTTCAATATCCCAGTCTTGACCTAGAATTTGTCCACAACGAAGCATTATGACTTCTATTATGTACAGAAAGGTTCAAGTAGAATGAATAGTTTTCTTCCTATGGCATTAAGTCCTTAATGAATATGCATATTTTATATCAAAAACTTTTTCTAACTGGAACTTCAGTGTAAAATACAAGGTATAGAAATTTTTTCTTTTTATAGACGAGCGTTAGGCCAAATTTGAGACGTTGAAATTTTATCAGACGCCCGAAAGCATCAAGAGAATAAATCACTCTGCTCTACTTAATTATATAAATCTTTTTTGAAATGCTTTCGTCCCTTTTATTCTTAATAAACAGTGATAATATCGATCAGTATTGAAATAGCTCATATAATTATTGAAAAATTTAATTTAGATGATACTGATCAACAACAAGAGGAAGATGGAAAAAGTCGTATAACTGTATCGAGACAATTTAAAGATAAAGTTGTAAAACCAATATTAAAAGTAAAATGTTTAAAACTTCGATTAACTATATAAAAATTTTCTACATATTTTATTTTTCGGTTTTCTAGAGACATTTTCGTCGTGATGAATTTCTTGGACGAATTAATGAAATGGTTTATTTTTTACCATTTTCAAAAAGTGAAATAAATAAATTACTTCTAAAAGAACTCGAATTTTGGAAAAAACGAGTAGGATTTTCTATCAATAAAAAACAAAAAAGAACTCTTCCTTGTATGATTTTCTAGGCTAAAGAACAACATAATATTGATATTATTTGGGATCGTAAAGCTCTTGATTGTTTAGCTGATGGTTATGATATTAATTATGGAGCTCGATCACTTAAACATGAGGTTATTTTATTGTTTTCATTTATTTATGAAAAAATTAAAAAAAAAAAATTTTTTTCATAGATTGAACGATCTGTAGTTAATCAATTAGCTGCTGCACATGAACAAGGTTTAATTGAAAGTGGTAATCAAATATTACTAACAGCTCAAGAAAATCTTTTTCATACACCGTTTTCAAATGGATCAAAATCTGAACCAATTAGTCGATCAGTTAAATTACAAAAAGTTGAAACAACAAGCGGACGAAGTTTAATAAGTGGTCTTTTTAATAGTACAAATAATAACAATAATCAAACAACAAATATAACTTATACCGATATTAAACCTGAAGATCATCTTAAAACATATCAATTTTAAAAGGAACAGATATAATTGTTTTTCGTTTTGAATAAAAATAAATAAATAAACAAAAAGAAAAGACAAATCATTTGATTTTCTTCTTTGCTTTCAAGTAAAATATCATGTTTCCAGATGATTTTGTATGAACAAAATAACGGACTATCATCAAATCTTTCATTTACATTTGATTTTGGTAAAAGTCTTACAAATCTTGATTGTCATTCAATAGCACTTAATGACAATGAAAAATATCTTTTACTTATTGGTAATCATGAACTTCAATTTATTAATTTTGAAACATTTATTACATCGATTGTTAATACAATCGGTGATGATAATTCAATCATAATATCATCATCAAGTGATATTGAATCAGTACCTTTATTTGATATATGTAATATTAATCGACCTATTGTTCAATGGAATCATCAAGATACAAATCAATATGCTTTAGCTGTTGATCGTCTTGTGCG